TGGCAAAAAAAAAAAAAAAAAGTTGGCCAAGAGATTCTAGTAGTAGTGGTGGTGGTGATATAAAGGTAATATACAGGGGGTTACAGTTACATAAATTGGGTAAGGAGGACATTTGTTGTTGTTGTTCTAGTCCTGGGACTTGAACTCAGGGCCTGGGCACTGCCCCTGAGCTTCTTTTGCTTAAAGATAGCACTGCACAGTGCCATTTCCGGGTTTTTCTGTTTCTGTGGTACTGAGGAATTAAACCCAGGGCTTTGTGCATGCTAGGGAAGCACTCTACTACTAAGCCACATTCCCAGCCATGCATACATGTCACCACTTCCCTTGCTCTCTTTTTGGTCAATTGTGGGTCTTTTTTTTTTTTGGTCGGTTGTGGGGCTTGAACTCTGGGCCTGGGCACTGCCCCTCAGCTCTTCAGCTTAAGGTAGGCATGCTACCACTTGAGCCACAGTGCCACTTCTGGTTTTCTGGTGGTTTATTGGAGATAAGAGTCTCATGGAGGGCTGGGAAGGTGGCTCAGTAGTAGAGTGCTTGACTTGCATGCATGAGGGCTAGGTTTGATTCCTGAGCACCACATAAGCAGAAAAAGCCGAAAGTGGTGCTGTGGCTCAAGTGGTAGAGTGCTAGCCTTGAGCTGAAGAGCTGAAGACAGCGTCCAGGCCCAGAGTTCAGGCTCCACGATCAACCAAAAAAAAAAAAATCTTATCGACTTTCCTGCTTGGGCTGGCTTTGAACCGTGATCCTTGGATCTCAGCCTCCTGAGTAGCTAGGATTACAGGCATGAGCCACTGGCCTCCAGCAATTGTGGGTCTTGAACTCAGGGCCTGGGCATTGTCCCTTAGCTCATTTTGCTCAATGCTATTGTTCTACCACTTTGAGCCATGGCATGACTTCTGGTTTTCTAGTGGTTAGTTGGAGATAAGAGTCTTAACAGACTTTTCTGGCCAGGCTAGCTTTGAACTGTGACCCCCTGATTTCAGCCTGCTGTGTAGCTAGGATTATAGGTGTGAGCCATCAGTACTAGGCTTAAGAGATTCTGAAATTCAGATCCCCCTGCCCCTTCTCACCCCTGGTACTGGTGATTGAACCCAGTGCCTCCAGTTTGCAAGGCATGCACTCTACCGCTGAGCTACCTTCCCAGACCTAGTGCCTCCAGTTTGCTTAGGCAGGTGCTCTATCATTTGAACCACAGTCTTGTTTCTGATCTTTCTAATAATAACTATCTGCTGGGCAGTCTTGTGGGTCTCAATTTTGTTATTTTTGTGAAAAATTATACTTGTTTAGGTATTGTGATTTTTGTGTGTGTGTCTTAATCATGTTTTTACTTTTTAATAATTAAGGTGCTTCGTAATTTCTTTTGTAGGCTTCATGAACAGTTGACTGAGTCGGAACAGGCTGCCCAGTGTTACATCAAATATATCCAAGATATCTATTCCTGTGGGGTATGTGTGATAGCATGGGAATTGTTTTACTGACTTTAATCTTATCACTCACTCATTCCTATTATCCTTATCTAGGAAATAGTGGAACACTTGGAGGAAAGCACTGCTTTCCGCTATCTGGCCCAGTACTATTTTAAGTGCAAGCTATGGGATGAAGCTTCAACTTGTGCCCAGAAATGTTGTGCATTCAACGATGTATGTATCAGTTCCTTAGTAAGGGGTTTGGATTTTAGGCTAACATGTCATTTGTATATCTGTGCATGTGTATGCCTGTGTCTGTGCGTGCATGTGCATGTATATGCGTGTGTGTGTGTGTGTGTGTGTGTGTGTGCATGCATGTGTATGTGCTGGGGCTTGAACTCAGGTGCTATTCTTTAGCTTTCTTGCTCAAGTGTAGCACTCTTTTCACTTGAGCCACAGCTTCATAGCTTTTTGCTGGTTAATTTTCCTGTCTGGGCTGCCTTCTGACTGTCATCTTCAGATCTCAGCTTCCTGAATAGCTAGAATTATAGGTGTAAGCCACGGGTACCTAGCTAAGTAAGCCTGGAATACACCCCCCGCCCCCCCCCCCATGATGTGGGAAGGTGGATAAGAATGTTACTAGTGTGGGACACTGGTGGCTCACTCCTGTAATCCTGTTCAGGAGGCTGCAGTGTTGGAATCACAGTTCAAGTCAGCCTGTGCAAGAAAGACTGTGAGTTTCTTTTTTTTTTTGGGGGGTCCGGTCGTGGGGCCTGAACTCTGGGCCTGGGCGCTGTCCCTCAGTTCTTCAGCTCAAGGCTAGTGCTCTACCACTTGAGCCACAGATCCACTTCCGGCTTTGTTTTCTTTTTGCTTATGTGGTACTGAGGAATGGAACCCAGGGCCTCAGGCATGCAAGGCAAGCACTCTACCACTGAGCCATCTTCCCAGCCCCCATGTGAGTTTCTTATCTTCAGTTAACTGCCAGAAAACCAGAGGTGATGCTGTGGTTCAAAATGGTAGCACGCTTAGCCTTTAGCAAGAGAGCTCAGGGACAGTGCCCATGCCTTGAGTTCAAGTCCCATGACAAAAAGAAAAATCAGTAGGAAGCCTTTCCTTTTTATGTTTTTAAATTTTTTATTGTACTGAGTTTTTGTTTTTTGTTTTGTTTTGTCAGTCATGGGGCTTGAAGTCTGGGCCTGGGCACCGTCCCTCAGCTCTTCAGCTCAAGGCGAGTGCTCTACCACTTGAGCCTTAGCACCACTTCCAGTTTACTAGTGGTTTATTGGAGATAAGAGTCTCACGGAGTTTCTTGCCTGGAGTTTCTTGCCTGGGCTGGCTTTGAACTATGATCCTCAGATCTCAGCCTCCTGAGGAGCTAGGATTATAGGCGGGAGCCACGAGTTTTTTTTTTTTTTTTTTTTCTTAAGTAACTTTACCCAGGTGGAACCCAAACCCACAATCCCTGGCTTAGGAGGCCAGTGCCTTATCCATTAGGTCACTGGAGCTTGCGGATTCTCCCCACCCCTTAGGAGTCTTGCTTATATAGCCTGGGCTATTCTATAACTTTTTGTAACCCAGGTTGGCCATGAACATGTAATCTTCCTGATTTAGTTCTAAGGGTTGAGATTACAGATGTACCACCATGCCTGATTTAAAAACCTGCTTTTGTCTGCCTAACTCAATTATCCATTTAACAGTAGTATTTTTAATAGCCTGTTTTTGAGAATAGCCTTGGATATATTTTGAAACAATTGCCTGACTTTATTTCAGACCCGGGAAGAAGGTAAGGCCTTGCTCCGACAAATCCTACAGCTTCGGAACCAAGGGGAGACTCCCACAACTGAGATGCCTGCTCCCTTCTTCCTCCCAGCCTCACTGTCTGCTAACAATACGCCCACCCGCAGAGTTTCTCCACTCAACTTGTCTTCAGTCACACCATAATTACCTAAGTCAGCACATTTTGCTTAAGCTTTAAGTAAGGAATGGCCATGTCTATTTTCCCAAGGACCTTAGCTGTTTTCATTTCTACAGATGAAAATAGCTTTAGGGAGTTTATATACCTTCAGGGGCGGAACAGATACTTATCTTTTGTTAGTTAGAAGCACTTCACTCTTCCCTATTCAGAGTTGCTACAGTTCTTGGCTTTTTTCCAGGGTCTCCCCTCCACTCACGAAAACATCCCTTGTATAGCACTTTAGCACAGGCCATCCTACAAGAACAAGTTTCAGTGCTGCTGGGAATGGGGTAGACATGAGATGAATCTATCACTCCACCCTCTTGGGCAGGGAGTAGGTCAAGCAGAGGCAGAGTTCTGCATTAGACAAAAATGAGTTTTTAATTTTGGAGGATTCTTTTTTGGGCTGGCTCTTGGGCTTAAACTCAGGGCCCAGAGTCTCAAGCTCTTGCTTAGCTTTTTTACTCAAAGCTGGCACTCTACCACTTGAGCCACAACTGACTGCTGGTTAATTGGAAAGAAGAGTCTATTAGATGTGGCTGCCATGGCTAGTTACTGGCTTCATATTACGATTTTAGCCTGAGTAGCCAAGATTACAGGTATGACCAAATCTGGCCTTTGTTTTGTTTTTGCTATTTGAGACAAGGTCTCACTAAATTGCCCAGGCTGGCCTCAACCTGGTCCTCCAGTCTAAGCCTCCCTAATGCTGGGATTACAGGCATTGGCCACAGTGTCAAGATAAGACCTTGTGAATTGGTTGAGCATAACCTCTATTTTGATGCTGATTACATTTAAATAGTAGATCTGTACATGTGTTCTTACTCTACAAAATGTTCTTTGAAACACCTTTGAAAAGTTTTCTAGAAGCTTTCAAATTGGGAATAATTTAGGATTGAATAGAACACTATTGATGGATTTTTCCTAGGGCAAAGGTATTTAAGGTATTAGCTATACCCTTACCAAGACAGGACAAGAAAAGAGGAATAGTCTTTTTTTTTTTTTTTTTTTGTGGGTCGTGGGGCTTGAACTCTGGGCTTGGGTGCTGTCCCTGCACTCTTCAGCTCAAGGCGAGCGCTCTACCACTTGAGCTACAGCACCACTTCTGGTTTTCTGGTGGTTTATTGGAGATAGGACTCACAGTCTTTCCTGCCTGGGCTGGCTTTGAACCTCCATCCTCAGATCTCAGCCTCCTGAGTAGCTAGGATTACAGGCGTGAGCCACCAGCGCCTGGCAGGAATAGTCTTTTTTGTGTTAATACTGAGGCTTGAACTCTGGGCCTCACACTCACTTGACTTTTTCTGCTCAAGGCTGGCACTCTATACCAGTTAAGCTACTGCTCCATTTCCAGGATTACAGATCATTTCATGGACATTCGAAAATAACTATAGGTAAAAGTAAGTGTTCTTCATGCTGGTCTGTTTTTCTTTTGTTTTGTTTTTTTTGGGGGGGTCTGGTCATGGTGCCTGAACTCTGGGCCTGGGCGCTGTCCCTCAGCTCTTCAGCTCAAGCCTAGCGTTCTACCACTTGAGCCACAGCACCACTTCCGGCTTTTTTCTTATGTGGTGCTGAGGAATAGAACCCAGGGCCTTGAGCATGCAAGGCAAGCGCTCTACCACTGAGCCACCTTCCCAGCCCTGGTCTGTTTTTCTTATCTCTAATACTTTTTTTTTTTCCCCCAGCCCTATTTGTTTAGACCATATGGGAATCATTGTTATGGTGCTCATTGAAGGTTTCAGGCCTGTGCATGTGTTCAGTAGATAATATGCTATTTGTCTGTTGTAATGAATTTATACAAGAGATGCTATGGGTTATTCTGAGCTTAGGATCCATCCTTGTGTTGTTCCTTGAACATTTTTACTCACCTTTTAATGTGTGATACTTCATTTTATATTAAAGCTTAAGACTATCTAGTGACACTTGGATTCATTTCTTATTAAGCCTTCTTTCACTAGTTAGTGTCTGGTTTCTATTGCTATTCCTGTGCAAGATTCCCATTAGCTAGAATGAAATGAAGTTTGTGTCAGTTTTTCTGCCTTTTTTTAAAAGTTGCTTTAATGTTTTTGCTAAATTTGGAATTCAAATAAAAATGTGAACAATAATATCTTTATTTAAATTTTTGTGTGCATAAAAACCATATGTGAAAAGAATGAGATTATACAGGTGATTATAATACAAAAGAGGAAAAAATAATATCTGAGTATTACATTCTGGATAAAGTTCCAAGTATATGGCAAAGCTTAAGAGTATTAGGCTGAGCAATTGTTCCACTTCAGGGCAATAGCTGTATTTCTCTTCCCTATAGCCTTAGTATTTTTTGCCAAAGGGCCCAGATTTGAGTAAAGGAGAGTGCCTTGAGCGTAAAATCCGAGCATAAGGACTGCAGTTTGTTGAGCTTTGGCAGGTGGGTGTTCGGGGAAGTAAGTTTCGAAGGAATGGTTTCTTCCCTGGTGGTTGCTGATCTGGTTGTTGGTTTTCCTGGTTGACACCAAGGCGTTTTTTGGCAGAAGAAGCCTGGCCTTGTAGCTTTAGGACAGTATTATACTGCTCAGCAATGCATGCTGCCTTCTTCCGAAGGTCCAGTTTCACTAGCATCATGTTATTTTGCAGCTCAGCCAGGGTCTGGTCCTAAGGGACATGAGCAAAGTTAGAGAAAACATTTCTGTCTTCTACATTACAGAAATAAGAGCAAGGTAAGCTTGGGGCATGCCTCCTGTAATAGAAGACCTAACATGCACTAGGCCCTGATTTCAAACTCCAGCAAGGAGAAGAATCGAGGTGTATGATATATGTTAGTATTTTGTGTCTTCAAAGATGATTGTAACTGAATGGTGTATATTTTGATTCCTAGACATAAGCAGAGCTGAACAGTGATATTTTCTTTTTTTTTTATTGTTTGTTTTTGGGTCCAGTCGTGGGGCCTGAACTCTGGGCCTGGGCGCTGTCCCTCAGCTCTTCAGCTCAAGGCCAGCGCTCTACCACTTGAGCCACAGCACCACTTCCGGCTTTTTTCTTTTTGCTTATGTGGTGCTGAGGAATCGAACCCAGGGCCTCATGCATACAAGGCAAGAACTCAACCACTGAGCCACCTTCCCAGCCCCTGAACAGTGATATTTTCTAACACATAATGTAGTATGTACTTCAGAGTTTGTGTAAACTTAAAAGAGCCTTAGTCCCAAGATATCAAATGCTACCTAGTCATTTTTCTCTCACATTTTAAGATCCTGAAGGTAGGATGTATCTTATTGGCAAGAAACATACTAGGCTGGATATAGCTCAGGTAGAGTCCTTGCTCTGGGTTAAATAGACAGTTTGTCATAGCTTGTTACTTTTTTTCTAATTAATACATAAAATAGTAGTAGTACGATCAACAAAGTATGATAGTATCTGCCTCCCAATCAAGTGCCTATAGTATCAGTTGGCACAGACTTCCTGGTAAGTATATGCTGGACAAAGATTATTTTTATTTTGCAAGAAAGAGTAACTCTTGCTAGGCACCAGTGGCTCAGGCCTGTAATCCTAGCTATCCAGTAGGCTGAGATCTGCAGATCGTGGTTCAAAGCCAGCCCAGGCAAGAAGATTTATCTCCAATAAAAACCGGAAGTGGTGCTGTGGCTCAAGTGGTAGATTGCTTGCCTTGAGCTGAAGAGCTCCAGGACAGCGCCCAGGTGCAGAGTTCAAGCCCCACGACCCACCAAAAAAAAAAACCAAAAAAACTCCTCTAAGTTCCACCTGAAAATCTTTTTTCCATCCTCTTCCCTTTTTCACGTAGCATTGGAGGAAGCAGAAAGAAGTAGAGGAGGTAGGGAGAGGGGGGATGGAAGAGGGTAACAAACTGCCCTTACCTGTTTGATTAAGATGTCATCACAAGTGGTAAAAGCTTGACGAAGTTTTTCTGCTCCAGTGCTGTGGCAACAGGCCCTTTCTGCTGATTGGAGGGACTGGCCAACTTTCTGAAGTTCTGATCGCAGCAGCCTTATGTTCTGAGAAAGAGTGGGAATAAGATCATGACTAATACCAACTAGAATAGTGATTATGGTGGAGAGCCGTTTTAAGAAAAGTTTTAGGAAAGAAAGGTAAACCATTCCCTAGGACTGGGGGAAAAAAAACACCTTGTACTCACATGAACTGATATAAGAGAGCTTTATACTTTAGAAGTTGTCTTTGCTAAGAACTTTGAGAAAGAACTGAGAAAGGAAATTACCTTCTGGCCTTCCTCTAACTTCTTGTCCACATCACTTGTGAAAGGTTTGGCTGAGGGTGGTGGTTCTAACATTTTTTGGTACTTCTGTAGCTCTGAGGGAGGGAAACAGGAAACTTGAATGTGTGGAATTTTCAGCTTTGGACTTACCTTTCATGTGCATGTGCCAGTCCTGGGGCTCAAGTTCAGAGCCTGAGTTAAGAGCCTTGTCCTTTAACTTTTTTGCTCATATACCACTTGAGACACTGTAGTCTACTTGCAGCTTTTTGGTGATTGAAATATTCTTATGGACCTTCATGCCTAGGCTGGGAAGGTGGCTCAGTGGTAGAGTGCTTGCCTTGAACACAGATCTTCAGATCTCAGCCTCCTGAGTAGTTAGAATTTTAGGCATGAATTACCAGTGCCAAGCTTCCCAGATTGAGTTAACAGTAGCTTATACCAAATTTTAAGAGTGAAGTCAAGCCAGGCACTGGTGGTTTACACCTATAGTCCTAGCTATTCAGGAGGCTGAAATGTAAGAGTCACCATTCAAAGCCAGCCTAGGCAGGAAAGTCTGTGAGCTCTTGTCTCCAATTAACCAGAGAAGAGCTGGAAATACAGCTTTGGCTTAGGTGGTAGTGCACCAGTCGAGCAAAAAAGCTAAGGAATAGTTTGTAGGCTATGAGCATGTGAGTGCACAAAAGTGAAGTGGTCAATGCATCCTAGAGTGAATGTTGCACAAAATTTTGTTGGGAGTCAAGCAGGTACTCTACTATGGGAGCCATGAGCCTGTCAAACTTAGGCCTTCTGACAGGTATAAGGCCCTAAATTCAATCCCCAGTACCACCAAAGGAAACAAAGACCTAGGTTTGAATACAATGTCTTTCCCAGAAGCACTATCATGCTTCCTGCCTCCTTCCCTTCCTCACCTTCAGTGGTGGAGCTTAGCTCTGCTTTGCATTGTTCTAGTTTAGTTTTAGCCTCCTGGAGCTGCTGTGTGGTGGCAGAAGTTGCCAACCTCTGTGACCGTCGCAGGGACAATTCAGGTCCTGACTGTTGATGAGTCACAGCCTGCTGCTGTCTGGTTTCTTGCAAGAGAGCTTCTAGCTCTTCAATTTTTTCATCCCGCTCCTAAGAGGAAAGAAGAGAATACAATTCTGTATATCATATACTTCAGGACATGATGTTGAATAAATGAATAAAATCCTTCTTAACGGTTAATTTAAGCCTCAAAATGCTTTTTGTTAGTCATTTTTGCCTTTTCCTTGATTAACTAAGCAGAGATGGAACACCTACATAGCAAAGTGAATTATATATACCTGCACTTACCAGTTTATAAAATCTGTTTGTGTGAGGCAATCTAGTGATGGAAATAAATCTGAACAACTAGTTTGGATAGGTTCAGGGCAACTCACTTGAATCTCTTCTTGGTAAAAAGTTGTTAGTGATTCCTTAAGGATCTTTAGTTTCTCTTCATATGTTTCTTCTAATAGTTCCTTTTGGGCATCCAAATGTTCACTGTCAGGAGGAAAGAAGTGAGTGAAGATTCTAGGGAATGAACTGGAGAACACTTGACGCACAACTTCATCCTAGTACATATTTCTGCCTTCTGCCAGTTAATGTAGAGGGATCACTCAGAAGGTACTGTACCTGCACCACTGTTCCCGTTGTTGCATCTGTTCTACCATCTCATTACAAATTTCATCACGGAGCTGCATCTCCAGCTGCAGCTTTTCCTGTCGTTCTTTAAAAAGCAATGTTTTCATAGCTTCAACCACCTGAAGGAGCTCCTAGGAACAACGTGTCAGAAATCATAAATCGCCTATGTTCCAAATAGGGAAAGCCTATTTGGAAGGTAGTATGGAGTGTGTAGTCATGAAGCTGCTGCACTGTTCCTGAGCCTTTTTGTGCTCAAGGTTAGTGCTCTGTATCTCTTGAGCCACAGCTCCACATCTGGTTTTTGAGTGGTTAGTTGGAGATAAGTCTCACAGGGACTTTTCTGCCCGGGCTGGCTTTGATCCTCAGATCTCAGCCTCTTGAGTAGCAAGGATTACAGGTGTGAGCCACTGATACTCAGCTGCCATAATTTTTTTTTTTTTTTTGCAGTTTTAAGGTTTGTAGTCAAGGCCTCATTCTTGCTTAGCTTGCTTGTTTGGCTGGTGTTCTACCCTTTGAGCCATGCCTCCAGACCAGCCTTTTGCTGGGTATTTTGGAAACAGTCTCACACTTTTCTGCCAGGATTGGCAATAAAATTTGAGTAGTTATTCACAAAAACTTTCTTGTATTCTTACCTCCTTGCTATATACAGAGATGTCAGCTTCATTTTCAATGTGGTCATCAAGACCTAGGTCTGCCTTACTCCCTTTTTCTAAGCCAGATGATGCTTGAAGACTGTGCTCTTTGATGAATGAACGCAGGGATGGGAGTCCCAGATGCATAGGTGGGGCATGTACAAGCTAGACGAGGGGGAAAAAAAAGCCCAAAAGCAACAACAACAAAAAAGCCACATTAACTTCTTAAATAGTTTTTAATAGCTTTCATGAAGTTACCAGCTCAAAGCAGGCATCTCACATCCAAAGATTCTCACCTGGCTAGCAATGGCTGAAAATTTAGCCACATGCAGTGTCTCATCATAGGTAGATGCACAGGGATTGATATTGACAATCATGCAGGAACGGCCTCTACCTGTGAAGAAGCCTTGAAACACTCGAGTCAACTTGCTGTCACGGAAGGGAACCAGGTTCTGCTTAGACCTGACAAAGAATCAGGAACATAGAGTTATGAGCAGAACTTATTCTCTGAGTATCCCAGCACCATCCCCATTGATGATCAGTAAGTCTTAACAAATTGACCAGCCTCCCAGCCTTCCCACCTCACAGCTTACCGGTTCTGCTGGTTTTGGCGAAGGGCAGCAATACAACGGCCCAGGGTGTGCAGAGATGTGTTAATGTTCCCTGCTTCCTTTAGCCGTTCACCACTCTTTTGATCTTTGCAGCGCTCTGAGCCAGCCAGATCACAGAGTGACAACCTAGAATGATGATGCCCAGTGTCTGTCATAAGAACCTTGTGTGAATAAGCTAGCCCATCATAAGTTCTGGAGAAGGGAGGGCCTATTGGGAATCTATATCTGAGAGAGAACAAGTAATTCCGCTGAAGACCTCTCCTCTACTCCCACAACTACTAAGTGGCCAAAATGTCTAAGAATAAAAACTTACTCGTGGGGGTGGGGGGGTGGGTGGGGAGGGGAGGCTGAGAAGGGATGTGAAGGGTAAACAAAGCAGGAGGCTGCAATGCTTAATAAGAAATGTACTCATTATCTTGCCCAGGTAATTATAACCCCTCTGTACAGTATGTTCACAAAAAATTAAAATTTAAAAAAAAAAAAACAACTTACTCGCTGATTTGGGGGATCATATCTCCTTCCCCCTGAAGGTGCAGAATTCGGATTGAGAAGATACTGTGACTAAAAGTTAAGAAAAAGAGAAAAGTCAATTGCATCCCTTCCATAACCAGGCAGAAAACTAAAGTTCCCCAGATACAGTGAAGGGTTTATTTTTATAACTCACCTTCGGCTAGAGTTCTGATTAAGGTGGGTGCTGGCAAAGCTCTGGTTCTTACGACCGACTTTGAGGAGTTTCCAAGCTTCTTCAGCATCTCGAACATGAATCCAATTGAGATCTGGAGCCAAAGGAGAGAAAGATATAAGGCAGGAACACTCAATTCCTTCCCTAGTTTCCACATCCCTTCCAGAGTTTCTGTAGCCTCCCTCACATTCACATACCTTTTACATAAGCATTGCCATTTTGATCCTCACACAGCCGTAGAGTCTGCCTCTTACGCTGCTGGCTAGGTGGTTCTAACAGGTCATATAGCAGTTCATTGTAGATCTCAAAGAAGGAGATCCAGATAGAGAAGCGAATGTCTGTTGGGACACTAACTGGGGCAGTGTCTGGCTGTGCCCACCGTTGACTTGTTTCTGAGGAAGAAGCCAATGTAGAGTCTTTTCAACCCTAGAGCAATCCATCTCATAAAATGGAACCTAAGCCGGGCGCTGGTGGCTCATGCCTGTAGTCCTAGCTACTCAGGAGGCTGAGATCTGAGGATTGCAGTTCAAAGCCAGCCCGGGCAGGAGAGATCGTGAGACTCCTATCTCCAATAAACCACCAGAAAACCGGAAGTGGTGCTGTAGCTCAAGTGGTAGAGCGCTCGCCTTGAGCTGAAGAGCTGAGGGACAGCGCCCAGGCCCAGAGTTCAAGCCCCACGACCGACCAAAAAAAAAAAAAATGGAACCTAATATTGCAACCTTTGGTCTGCAACCCTTATAGACCTGTAGGGAACAGGGAGTATGTCCCTACTATTATTGGCATAGAACCCAGGTCCAATACATACCATCCAGTTGGCTACTGCTAGTAAACTGACTGCTTGAAGAGAGCCCAGCAATGCCACTATCAAAACTGGTGCTAGTACCCATCCGACTTTCAATGTAGACATTCTTCTTCAAGGAAGTAGATAGCTCTTCCTGGAGAACAGAGAGAAAGTAAGCACAAAAACTTTCCTGAGATGTATACCCCTTATTCCTCCCTACCTTCATGCATACCAACACTTCACCTCTTGGAGGCCTCCATTTAGCAAGGACATCTTTTTCATTTCCTCCTGTCGAATTTGCTTGCTGTCTAGCCAGATTACCTCATTGGAGAGCAATGGCTTCAGATCAGGTGTTGAATGAAGTTGTCCCTGGAGGCTATTGAAGATCAGAGCCAGTGACCGGGGAAGGATTCCTCCATCCTTGATGGTACCTAGGGTCAGAGAAAAGATGGACAGCTGAAGCAAGTCTCTTTCTCTTCATAACTCAGGGTATTAAAAGGTAAAGACCATTATTGCATGCAAATCAGAAACCTGGTGAATCAGGTGCTGGGGCTTACACTTGTAATCCTAACTACTCAGTATGTTGAGATCTGAGGAACATGGGTCAAAGCCAGCCAAGGCAGGAAAGTCTGTGAGATACTTATCTGCAATTAACCACCAAAAAAGTCAAGAGTAGAGTTTTGGCTCAAGTGGTAGAGTGAAAAAAAAGCTAAAGGGCAGTGCCTAAACCCTGAATTCAAGCCCCAGTGCCAGCACAATAAATAAATTCTGTGAATTCTTACCACTTACCTTGAATTGTGTGGGTTTTCCCTGAGTTGGTAACTCCGTATGTATAGATGAGCCAGTTCTGTCCTTTGAGTACATCCTTTACCATCTCCTTCACAGTCAGGTTGAAGAAGTTTGCCTGTCCTACTTCTGGCCCAAATATCTAGAAACACATCCAAGTTTCTCAGAGGCCATCTTTTTTTTGTGTGTGCCAGTCCTAGGGCTTGAACTCTGGACCTGGGCACTGTCCCTCAGCTCTTTAGCGCAAGGTGAGTGCTCTACCACTTGTGCCACAGTGCCACTTCTGGTTTTCTGGTGGTTAATTGGAGATAAGAGTCTCATGGACGTTCCTGATGAGGCTGGCTTTAAACTGCAGTCCTCAGATCTCAGCCTCCTAAGTAGCTAGGATTACAGACCTGAGCCACCAGTGCCCAACCCTGAACTTTTTTTGCTAATGCTCTATTACTTGAACTATAGCTCTGTTTCCAGATTTTTGGTAGTTAATTGGAGATAAGTTTCACAGACTTTTTCTGTGTACTCTAGCTAGAACCACAATTCTCAGATCCTGGCCTCCTGAGTAGCTAGGATCACAAGTGTGAGTCACCAGTGTAACCTGGTTTCAGAGTCCATCCTTTATCTCCCACATGTCTCCTATAAGAGCCAGCAAATAAATCTTTTTGGGTGGTTGGCTCTGAAGACCATTCAAGTAGGTACTTTCTGCTCTTTAGATGAAGCTCTTTCTCCAGCTGTTCCTAAACATTGAGTACTCAAACACTTTGTAAGTCCATCTTTTATCCAAATAAACAAACACTTAGGCAATGCTATAAACTAATCCTAAACCTGCATATACAATGTGGGCAATATAATGGCTATAACTGTGGGCTTTGGAGATGGATGGGTCTCCATTCATAGCTCTAACATTGGCTAAGCTCTATGGCTTAACAGAATACCTTTGCTGAGTATAGTATCCTTGTTGGGAAAATACGAATAATAGGGATAACAACAGAAATTTTAAGACTAAGTGCAAAAAAGTACTTGACATAGATTAACATCCCACTAGAAAAGTCACTCTAAAGTTGAGCTGGGTGTCAGTGGACCATGCCTACAATCTTAGCTACTCAGGAGGCTCAGATCTGAGGACTGTGATTTGAAATCAGCCTGAGTAGGAAAGCCCATGTGAGACTCTTATTTTTAATTCACAAAAAAGAAAAGAAAAGAAAAGCCAGAAGTGGAGCTGTAGTTCAACTGGTAGAGCTTTAGCTTTGAGCAAAAAAAAAATCTCCAAGACAGGTTGGGAATGTGGCTTAGTGGTAGCATGCATGAAGCCCTGGATTCTATTTCCCAGTATCACATAAACAGAAAAGGCTGGAAGTGGTGCTGTGGCTCCAGTGGTAGAGTGCTAGCCTTGAGCAAAAGAAGCATAGGGATAGTGCCCAGATCCTGAGTTCAAGCCCCAGGACTGGCCAAACAACAACAAAACTCCAAGACAGTGTCCAGGCTCTGTTGAGTTCAAGCCCTAGGATGGACTTGCATGCATGTTCACACATGTTATATCTGAGTGCCATCTGAGGATCACAGTTTAATCTGATTGATCTGAAGATCGTAGCTGGAAGCCAGCTTGGACAGAAAAGCTCCTGAGACTCTTAACTCCAATTAACCAGCAAAACCTAGAAGTGGAGTTGTGACTCTAGTAGTATAGTGCCATCCTTGAGCAAAAAAGGTATGGGACAGCATTCATGCCCTGATTTCAAGCCCTAATACCAGCACAAAAAGATAAATAAAAGTTGTTTTTAAATGTTGATCAGTTTTCATAGCCCAGTATATCCATACCTGAGAAAATGTGAACCTGTGAGTGGCTTGGCCAATTCCCCGCTCATTGCTCTTTAGAGCAAATGAATCTTTAGGTGCTTGCAGAACAAGGGTCTCCAAATTCTCAATACGTACACAGCCCTAAGAAGGGGGAAAATGTTACCACTGAAGGAAATATTCCTGGGTAATTTCTTATGTACTTCATCATTCCTTCTTTAAACACTTACCTGATCCTCATGTCTTTCTAACTCTGAAGGTAACAAGGGCCTGACTCGGAGATATACTTTTACCTTCTCTGTATTATCCTCACACAGAACCTGTAGCAAAATTCCAGACAGAAACTACAGATTAATCTTAGAAGTTACCTCTGAGCAAATGGCACAAGGCATAGTTCCTAGAAATCATGCTAACATGGTCCATTCCAACTGAATGCAAGTATCCTTTGATTACACAATCATGTCAACCCACATGAGCTCTTCTTTGTTACCTTTCCTTATTTCCTCATTATCCTGAAAACCTGGCTTGCCCTATTAAATATCTGACTTAGAACTCTATTGACTGTATAAAAATCAACATGTGACATTTCAACAAAGCACAGTACAACATAGTAGAACACACCTGACTTTGACTCCCAATTCCGTCTAGGAACTATAAGACTTTAAAATTTTCTTTAAGGGGCTGGGAAGGTGGCTCAGTGGTAAAGCGCTTGCCTTGCATGCATGAGGCCCTGGGTTCGATTCCTCAGCACCACATAAGCAAAAAAGAAAAAAGCTGGAAGTGGCGCTGTGGCTCAAGTTGTAGAGCGCTAGCCTTGAGCTGAAGAGCTGAGGGACAGCGCCCAGACCCAGAGTTCAGGCCCCTTGACCGGACCCCAAAATTTTTTTTTCTTTACTTTAGTTTTTCTCTTTTTCTTAGTTAAAATTTTATATATATGGTATGAAGGAATTGAACCCAGGGCCTCATGCATGCTAGGCAAGCATTCTACCACTAAACCATATCCCCAGCTCCAGCCTTAGTTTTCTTATCTAAAGAATGAGGTTAATAATAGCATCCATCTCATTCATTCAATAGATATTTAGAATGCCTACTATGGCTTAGGAATGTTAAGAGGCTTTAGTGGTTCTAGTGAAAGATATTTTCAAGGGTCCTGTTTTCATGAAAGAGATTCATGAAGGAGATTCTAAGAGAGGAAAAAGGTGTAACCAATATAAGTTAACTTTAACACATGACATAGTGCAGTGGTTTTCAACTATTGCCATTTCCCACCCTCTAGGGGACATTAGAACAAGCGGGAAGGTATCACTGACATCTGGTGGTTTGAGGCCAGAAATGCTACTAAGCATCCTACAAGCACAGGACAACCCCTGAATACAAAGAATTGGCCCCCAAATATTAATCATGCTACAGCTGAGAAACCCTAGCAACACAGAAAGAGGGGCTAAATAGAAGCTATGATTGATATTACTAAAACATGAATGTTTGAATGTTATGAATGCTGCATGTTATGGCTCTGCAAATAATTTTTTGTTTATGTGCTGGGATTTGAACTTGGGCTTCACAAATGGTCAGCATAGATTCTACCATTAAGCTACATCTTTCAGCCCTATACAAGTTACATAACAAAAACAGGCTCCATGAGATATGATTATTCTACTCTCAAGACTGAACATGCACTTGAGGGTACTGCATTAATACAAGTAATAGTTACTTTTATAAACACACCTTTAAATTTGAATTGTTCTCCCACATTATCAGGATTACAGATCTATGATCTTCTATTAGATGTATGCATAACTATTAGGCTGAGGGTATCACTTTCTGCCCCAAGTCACACTCCAACTCTTTTACCTGCTGTTTGTCTTCCAAGGAGGTGGAAATGACAGAGCAGTCTGACAACAGTTTCTTATGCATTGCAGATCCCAAATCTGCAGCTGTGGACTCAAACATAGGAGATACTACGACATCCTCATCGGACAGCAAGCCTGCCGGCGGGGAGAGGATGCCTTGAGACATGACAGTAGGAAAAAGCCTACGTCTAAAAAGGAACAAGAGTAAGGAAAAGAAAATTAACAATTATAGATGCGAACTATTGGTGCCTCATGACCCGGTCCTGCTGCCTGAATTTCAACCCTATTCACCTCCATTATCTGCAAAGGGGATGGGGATGAGAGGAACAAACCAGTCCGCAGATCAGCGTCGCATTTCTAAATGCGAACAGGTATCAAGAGTTAACTGGCTTTAAAAGCAGAAGGCCACGCTCCAAAGAGGGTGTCTGGCAAGCAGTGCTGTGGAGGTGGTGCTAGCATCCCTAGGATCTTTTCCCAGACTCACTCCAAGGTTCACATAGAAAGTATGAGTATTAAGAAGAGAGAGAGAGAGGAGAGTGAGCGAGAGAGCGCTGCTGCTCCGCTCTCTGAATGCCTATTCCACAGGAGCAAGAGCTGATAAACTGGGTTATAGCGCATCCGCACACTTACCAGGAGACGGGATCTTCGCTGCTTCCCTGGTACCAACTCCCAGCCCTTGGCGGAACCCGAACTTTCGCTGGGAGAGAGATCAACTCCGCCCACGAGGGGCAGCTTTGTTTCTGATACAATGTTTTAAAGTACGCGCGCAGTTCGTTCAGCCAATCAGAAAGCAAAACCTGCGGTTCCCAATCAGCGTGAGGAAAGTGGGAGGGGTTAGGGAAAGAGACCGTTTGTTCAGTTTGACCTCTCACCTCAAAAGTACATCCGGGTTAGCGTTTTCACCTAGGAAGGATTTGTCTCCGGGTTGTTTTGTTGTTGTTTTTAGCTATGAACTCAGGGCCTCGTGCTTACGCGTTTATCCTGAACGCCACACATTTCTTTCGTTAAAAAGCCTCAAGGACGTTCTGACGCTTCAGTGCTATCATTGGCACTTCCTTAACAGCACTTATTTCCGGAAGCGAACGGAAAAACTGGAGTTGTCCGCTTCCTCTTGAAAAAAAGAACTACATTTCCCAGGAGGCATCGCGAACAAACGCCGTTATTTTATTTCCCAGAGTCCCCGGAGTTCGGCCGTACCGACCGTCTCTGGCTGCGTTCATGAGTACGAGGCCAAAATGGCGACCGGCACAGGCAGTGAGTATTGGAGTAGCTTTTGTGTGGTAGGCCTTAGTACAGCCGAGACGAGGCACCGAGTTTTCCGTTGTTTTTCTTTTTTTCCACACGCGTTAGAGAGTGGTTTTCCCGAGAGCCCGCGGCCTTCCGAGATGCACTGTCGGCGGCGTCGCGAGAGCCGGCGTGTAGGCGCTTGTGTGTTAGGGAGGGAACGAAGGCTCCAGAGCGGCAGCTTCGCTGGTCTTTATGGGTTAGGGGCTCGGTGGGCTAAACGTTGAGGCTTTCCAGAAACTTGGGCGTGTACGCAAAGAGCTGTGAGTCGGAGAGAGCTGAGCCATTTGTTTCCTGACGAACGTGTGTGGCAGACGAGTGAGCACTTGTCTTTTAACCGTGGGCTTTTTTTTTTTTCCTCCCACCAGAGAAATTGCGTTTGGCGTATTTCACCGACCGAAAATGTCTTTTTAGGCTCGACAGTTGGGGGCGGGGCGGCTGATGAGTAAACAGGTTTATGCTAACGAGGAGGCGGAGCCTTAGGTGAATGCCCGCTCGGGATCTTGGGAAATGTATTTGCGTTCAAATTAGAATGAAGTGTTCTTAAAAATTGGACTCCTCGGGGCTGGGAGGGTGGCTCAGTGGTAGAGCGCTTTCCTTGCATGCATGAGGCCCTGGGTTCGATTCCTCAGCACCACATAAGCAGGAAAAAAAAAAGCCGCCACATAAACAGAAAAGAAAAAAGCCGGAAGTGGCGCTGTGGCTCAAGTGGTAGAGCCCAGAGTTCAGGCCCCACAACCGGACCCAAAAAAAATTGGGATCATCTCCCCACTTCCTCCTCCCTCCCTTTTTTTTTTTTATGTCAGTCGCCTATGGGGCTTGAACTCAGGGTCTAGGCACTGTCCCTCAGCTCTTCAGCTCAAGGCCAGCGCTCTACCACTTGAGCCACAGCGCCACTTCCGGTTTTCTAGTGGTTTATTGGAGATAAGAGGCTCAGGGACTTCCCTGCCCGGGCTGGCTTTGAACTAGTTTTGAACCGTGATCCTTAGATCTCAGCCTCCTGAGTAGCTAGGATTACAGGCATGAGCCACCGGCGCCCGGCTCCACTTCCGGTTTTTGAGTAGTTAAAGAGTCAGGGGATTTTCTTCCCGGAGCTGGCTTCCAGCCGTGGTCTTCAGGTTTCAGCCTTGAGTAGCTAGGTTTACACTGGTGCGTGGCTGTAACTGCTTCACTTTAACCTGATAATCCATTTTCTTTCTTTTTTTTCTGTTGGTCGTGGGGCTTTAACTCTAGGTCAGGGTGCTGTCTCTGAGCTCTTCAGCTTAAGGCTGGGGCTGTACCACTTGAGTGACAGTGCCACTTCTGGCCTTTTCTGTTTTATGTGGTGCTGAGGAATGGAACCCAGGGCCTCATGCATGGGAGGCAAGCACTCTACCACTGAGCCACCTTCCCAACTCTGTCCATTTTCTTTTTTAAATAAAGAAAAGCTGACTTTAAAATGTTCTGTGATTCACATGCAGGTACCACAGTCAGTGGTGATATTTCATTGGTGTGACAAAAATCAAGGTTGTTTTTGCCAGTCCTGGGTTTAACTCAAGGCCTGGGCTGGGGACTGTCCCTGAACTGCTTTTGCTTGTGCCACAGCTCCACTTCCAGCTTTTTCTGTTTATGTGGTATTGAGGAATCGAACTCAGGGATTCATGCATGCTAGGCACTATGCCACATTCCCAGCCCAAAAATCAAGTTTTCATGATAGTTTAAAAATAGAATTTGGAGCTAGGTGCCGGGTGGCTCATGCCTGTAATTCTAGCTACTCAGGAGGTTGAGATTTGAAGGTTGCCATTCAAAGGTAGCCTGGGACTCTTAACTCCAGTTAACCTCCAGAAAGCCAGGAGTAGAGCCATGGCTCAAGTTTAGAGCACTAGCCATGAGCAGAAAAGCTCAGGGGCAGTGACCATGCCCACAGTTCAAGCCCTAGAACTGACAAGGGGGAAAAAAGGTGATAGTTTACTTTGTCCCAACAAGTTGGAATATTTGTTTTAGGCTCTTAGCTTTTGGGGGGCTTAAAACTACTATCTCAGTGGGTATCTAGAAGTCTTCTTTCTTTTTAGAACACAAGCTGCTGAGTACAGGCCCCACAGAGCCATGGTCCATCAGGGAGAAGCTATGTTTAGCCTCTTCTGTCATGAGGAGTGGAGATCAAAACTGGTAAGGAGTCTAAGATAATCTGGTTTCTTGGGTCTTTGTAACTTTTTCTTTTCATTTAATCCTATTCAGCTTTTTCCCTCCTTAATACAGGGGATTGAACTCAAAGCCTCATGCTTTCCAGGCAGGTACTCTACCACCATTTATGTGGGGGGGGGGGTGTTGTACTGTGATTTATTTTTTTTTGGGTCAGGTCGTGGGGCCTGAACTCTGGGCCTGGGTGCTGTCACTCAGCTCTTCAGCT